GCATCAACATCCTCATCATCATCAGCATCAGCATCATCATCAGCATCAGTAACATCACCACCATCATCATCAGCATCATCATCACCACCACCACCATCATCAACAACACCACCACCACTACTATCAGCATCATCATCAGCATCATCAACATCAGCATCAGCATCAGCATCAGCATCAGCATCATACTCATCATCATCAGCATCATCATCATCATGATGCTTTACCTCGGCCAATAGAATGATATCCCAGAGCGATGCATTGCGAAGCTTGCCACCAAATGTCACACTGAAATCGATTGAAACTGTGCTGTTCCAGGGAAGGTTGGGTCGGGAACAACGAAAGGCTGCGAGGCGGGCAACGGGCGAGGAACGCTGATGCTGCTGCTACCTTCACCCTACTCGTATTCACTGAAAGGCCTCTATGACATCATTACTGCGCACGCACTCTCATGATGCTTTACCTCGGCCAATAGAATGATATCCCAGAGCGATGCATTGCGAAGCTTGCCACCAGACGTCACACTGAAATCGATTGAAACTGTGCTGTCCCGTACTCCACCGAGGGAAGGTCCGAATCTCAGGGATGTTTTGGCTTCGGGCGGGCTCGGGAGGGAGAAGCCGATTTTCTTGGCCGGGAGTTAGATAGGTCGAAAAATTTAGCCACATACTGTCGGGCCCACAAGGATCTGAAAGTGTTGGCCACCGCGGAGCACAAGGGCGACGGGCAATGTTTAGCACGATCTGTCTTCCAGCCAGCAATCTCCTTTCCTTCAAGGTGTACATGAGGCCTGCCTGAGCGCGAGCATACACCAACCTTGCCAGTGCACTTGTGCTCTAAGAACGACGCGTCGCACTCTGAGGACAAAAGAATGGAGGTACGTTTTCTGAAGTCGGTTCCGAACTGGCACTGGTCAAAAACGATGACTTTCGCAAACTTCGAATAGCTCAGGTGACTCAGAAACGGAATGTCCCAGAGCATGGAGGAGGCGGGGTTTTCGATCATGAACGGGATGTGGCATCGAAGGGCCTGCCGAACGAGTTTGCATGTTACTCTCGCGAGCCCGTTGCCTTCAAGACACACCTTCTTGTCTAGATCGGAGAGGTCCAAGAAGCCCCAGATATGTTCAGGAGATCTTACAGCACTGGGCAGGGGAGAGGATATAGGCGCTCTTCTAGCGATAATGAACGAGCGGCATGGCGTAGCCAGAAAGATTCCTTGCACCCTGCCCGAGCTCATTAACTTCAGAATCGCAGGTATCACACCTGGCGCAAAGATATCCGCACCTGAGCTCAGTTCAATCTCTAGCGACGAGATGCCACACCTTGCCACGGCCTTGCCGATGCCTTCGGAGCCGGCGAACACATCGATGAAGATGTCGCCGCGCTCCAACCAGGCGGCCGGGGCGCGGACGCCAAGCCGAGGAGGATGTCGCCAAGGTGCGAGCTGCAGCGCCCGAGGTACTCCTGGACGTCGTCGCTGAGCTGCACCAGCTGAGAGTTGACTTTGCTGGACTTCTCGTACCTGATGAGTGAGCTGGTGCTGGCCCAGCGACCTCGGCGCTGCACCTCCAGCTGCGATCTCCGTCCTGCGATCACGTCCCAAGACGGGCCTGCACGGCGCAGGCTGTAGGGCACGACCCCGATGCTCTCGAGGCGGCAGACTTTCACGGCCTTCGCGAGCATGACGCCGAGCTCCGCCTGCGAGAACTGCCACAACGGGTCCTTCGGCCGCTTCCCTCTGCGATAACGCTCGAAGAAGTGGCCGATGAACTGCAGGTTGTCGTGGTCCAAGGTCACGTTGTCGTCGTAAACGCCTGTCTTGGTCGGGTCTCCGCTGTCGTCCGAAGGCCCCGGGATGAGCGACCACCTCTGGCATTCTGGTCCGAAGCCAAGGGCGGGAGGGGCGACGTCTCGAACGCGGAGCCCACACAGCTCCCCTGGCCGCAAGTAGGCGCTGAGCGCGACCAGCACGGCCACTGCCATGTCCGTGTGGTCGAGAAGGTGGAGGGCCACAGCCACCCCGCAGATGGTCGGGCACGGCGGCGGCGGGCGGCCCAGAGCTGGACGCCGGCGGCCCCGCGCCTTCAAGGACCTCTCGAACCTGGCCAGCGGCTTGGCGTTGGGCGCTTGAGGTTCGGGTAGTAGTGCAGGACGGTCGCTTTCAGCTTCTCGCCGTCGTGCTTCTTCCTGCCATCCAGATAAGCGCGGCCCGCCCAGTCCAGGAGGGCCTCGTCCAGGGAGTCCAGGGTGTCGGTCTTGAAGCCCTGGCGGTGGACGAACGTGAAGAACTCCTCGACGCGCCTGTGGTAGTCCTCGATCTGCACAGGCCTGACCGCGATGCTCTCGAGGTAGGACAGGCCTCCGCTGCTGGCTGAGCATTTGGCGGCAGCCTGCCTTGTCGAGGTTGCGACCCGCGATCTCCGCGAGCCGCCTCGACGCCCGGCTGGCGTCGCCTGGGGCCTGGCCAGGACCGGCAGCGTCCTCCAAAGGCAGCGGGTCGCGTAGTCGGAGGTCCTGGCGGTCTAGCTGTAGCGCTGGCGCAACCTCGAGCCTGCGCGCCACATTGCGAGTCACCACCCCCGAAGTCGTTCGTCCTCTCGCCGGCGGGGCTCTCGTGACAACCCCAGGCATCAGGATGAACAAGCCCAGGAGGAGGACGCCATGCAGCGCCAGCACTCGCCGGCGCTGGCCCCCACTGTCGCGAAGGCCGATCGGCAGGATTGACCTCGGACGGGATCCAGCGGCATTGGGCCCGAAGCCCAGTAGCGAGCTGCATGGCCGCCATCTGACGAGGCTGACCAAGCAGGGCTGGGTCTCGGCAGCGGCCTTTTTGCAGAGCCAGCACGAGCCCCACGTTGCCCACCAGCATGAGCACCTTGCTGCGCCGCCAGCGGCCGCAGCGCACCACGTGCTTGAGGCCCAGCTTGACACCCCTAGCCTCCTTGACATGGATGGCCCCCTCGTGGCTGCCACAAGGACGCTTGGCGACCACTGCCCACTTGGCCTCAGCGACGGCGGCGGGCTCGATGTCGGGGAAGCCCCCGTTGGCCAGCCAAACGCCCTCCTCGCTGCCTGGGATGAGGTTGCCGTCTCTGTCGATCGGCGGATCGGCCATGTCGTAGCCAGCCAGGGCAACCTCACGGTGCTTGCGATGTGGATCCTTTTTGAACCTCCATCGCTCGTCGTGGCAGCCAGCACGTCGCACAGCATCATCTGGCCACTCGGCGACGCAAACGCCAAGCCCAGTCTGACTGGCATCAGTAGCCGCCACCTGGTCGAGCCAGCCCGCGCTGAGGTCCGCGTAAACCAAGGGCAGGATGGCAGCGGCGATGAGGAGCTCCCTCTCGACGCTCGGCCAGATGTTCTTGGCTTCGTCCCCAGCCGACTCGGCGAAGGCAAAGGACGCGGCGACGCAGGACAGGCAGGGCCTCCGCAGCAAGAAGGCGAAGCAGAGGTGGCCCGGGATGGCGCGCATCTCCCGCCCTGTGCAGCGTCCGCGTCGTACAAGAGCATGAAGTCCTGCACGGAGCCGCCAAGCCCTGGCAGCCGACAAGATGACCACCTGCCTCTCGCCATCCAAATGAACGCCCACGATGTCCAAGGAGGTGCTGACCTGCTCGATCTCGTGGACGTGGAAGCCAGCTTGTCGAACCCCTTCGAGGGCCTTGCGATGCAGCGTCGCGACCTCGGCTCTGTCACAGCCGATAACCCCGAAGTTGTCGACGCATGCCAAGTGGACGGGCCCATCCTCAAGTGGAGGCGGAGGAGTGCCATCACGCAGCAAACGAGAGGGAGGCAGGCCAGCACGCTGTAGCAGCTCCTCGTGAACCAGCTGGGCGGCCCACATCGCCCATGAAAACCCCATGGGTAGCGTTTGGAGCGCCGGGTAGATGAGCTCGTTGGGGCCCACCTTGACGCCGCCGATGCTGTCCACACCCACTGCTGAGGCACGAACTGGGGACAAGGCGAAGTACTGCGACAGCTCCTCGTCAATCCTAAGCTCGTGGAAGTAGTCCTTGATGTCGAAGCTGGCGGAGTACATGGTCTGCTCGGAGCTGCTAGTGAGACGGCTGAGGGAGTCACCAGTCGCAAGCTGTATATAATCAGGAATATCACATCGAACGTTGCTCCTTCGAACATCACACATGAGTCGTAAATCACCACTCTTCTTTCGAACGAAGAACAAGCCCACCCCCTCTTTGTAATTTCGAGTCCATCGCACCATCAATAAAAAAACAAAACCATAAACCAGAATACCAAAACTTCCTGTCACGAAGCTCTCGGCCCCCACCCCCCCCCCAAAAAAAAAAAATAAACCCCCACCCCCACTGGCGGATGTGCCTCACACCGGTCAAAGTAGAGATTTGGGCAGTCCCTCGTTCTTGAAAGTAATATATGCATATTCCTCATCGTGAAGAATAAGGCTCGCGAAAGGCCGCTTAAAAAACTTGTGCACGCGGCCTCCTCGGGCAAGACGCTGTAATGTCCGACACCGAGCTCCAAAAACAGGATCCAAAGAGGTGGGGATGCCGCACAAGAGACTGGAGCCGAGCCAAACGGTGCAGTGTTCCCGGCACGCCCACTGTCACCATAGCGAGTGTTTGCACGCAGAAGCGCCGCGAGGGCTTCTTGCGGGGCGGGCCGATCCTTGGGCAGGGGTGCAGCGGCAACAGCATCTCGTACAAGTGCGAGAGCAGCCCTCGTCTGTTCTCCACCTGGTCCGATTGACGATGCGCTTCCGACGCCTCCCAGCCCATTGAGGGCCCAAACGATCTCGTCAGAGCGCTTGTCAGTCCAAGCGCGCCTGCAAATACGCCGTCGAACTCCACGGCTGAGTAGACTACGAGGGCCTTCACATCCGTGGTCTCGGGGCAAGGGCAGGAGATCACGCTGGCGACCATCGGCCATGCCTTGAACAAAATCTCGCCGAAGCCCTCGGTGCAGACGGCGGCTGGGTGGCGGCCCAAGGCGGGCCACGAAAAGGGTAAAAGCGAGGGGCTGTTAGCCCTTCCTCGCAAGGGCCGCCTCCTCGCGAGCCTTGCGTCGTTCCTTCTGGATATGAGCCTCGCCCTGGAGCTGAAGAGCAACATGCGAGGTGAGCTGCGGCGCCGCCGCTGCAACCTTCTTGCCAAGGCCCTGGAAGTGCTCGCCCCCTTCGAACCGCGGCGCCTTCGGGTTGGCGGTGTAGGCCTCCTCCAAGAGCTGAACCTTCCTCGAAAGTAATTCGACTGAAGCCAATGCCGAAACGCCCAGCTGGTCATACGTGAGGGCCCACTCCAGGATCTCCATGAGGCCACCGTGTTCGTGCTTGACCCTGTCATTGTCTGGGATGTGGGCTTCGCGCATCCACTTCTGTCCTGGTGCGCGGGACGCAGCCCTGCTCACGAGTGAACTTGCAGAGCCAGAGCGTCGCCCTCGGGCCCTGGATTGGGAAGTCCTTCCAGGGCGGCTCCTCCAGCAGCCCAACTCCGTCGGCGTACGGGCGGAATCGCTGGCCCATCTGGTCACACAGCACAGGCAGCACTCGGGCGTCCGCCGTCCGCACCTGGCCGTCAGATGGCACCCCCGCAGCGGCGGGCTGCGGTCCTGCGATTGCGGCAGCCAGCCCTCCTGGCGCGGGCAAGGCGGCCACAGCCAACTCCAGCTCGCGCCTCCTGGACTCGAGGACGCTGATCTTGCTGCCGATGGGGATGAGCTCCAGCACGAGCGTGGCCGACCCCAGCTTGGCGAAGGCGAACTACCCTGGATGACCGCGCTCGCGTCCACGCTCCAGTCGGCCCCCACTGCTGGCGCACCTGGCTGGCCATCGCTGGCGACCGCGAACCACTGCGCGCCAGCCGCGGCTGCTCCAGCCATGGGGGCGGGCGCTCCAGCGGCCGCTCCAGCCGCAAGCGCGCCTCCGCCTCCGCCTCCGACAGCACCGCAACCTCCAGCGAGCGGGGGCGCGGCGGCCGCCGCCGGCAGCCCGGCCGCGGCGGGCACCACGGCGCCAGCGGCTGCAGGTGCGGCGTCGCCTGGCTGGCCCCCAGGCAGTCTGGCGCCTGCCACCCAGCCGTGAGCAGCCACACGATCGCGAACAGCGCCAGCCTCAGCATCTGCAGCGGCGCCATCGACCCCCATCGCGGCTCGCCGCATCTGGGCCGTCGCGATCCCGTCATCGAAAATGCGCCTCCACTCCGCGTTGGTGCGAAGCTGGTCGAGGGGCGGGAAGCGGTACAGCAGCGCGTTGGCGGGGATGGCAGGCGGCACCGAGCCTTGCACACAAGGCTTGCCACCCAACGCCATGATGTCTTCTGGGTAGACGTCGTCATCAGGCGTCGCGATTACCCACGTCGTTCCCTGCACCTGACAGAGCAGCAGGCGCTCGTGCCAGTATGCCTCCCCGCCCCCGTACCACACCAGAATCAGGCGACCTGGCGCGATCGGCCTCAAGTCGCCCATACACTCGCCGAACTCCAGCGCCCCAGATGGCCCCTGCGCAGCAGCCAGCCGCGAGCCCGCCGAGGGCCGCGACCACCACCGCGACGAGCCACCACGCGCCGAGGCCGCTGGCCGCCTTCGGGCAGCTGGCCTCTGGGCAGCTCGGGCAGGCGGCGCCCCCGAGCGCGCAAGGCGGGCACTGCAGCGCAGGGCACGCCAGGGAGGGCGAGCAGGTGCAGTCAGGGCAGGCCCGCTCGCTCTGGCCAGCCCACACCAATGACGCGATGCCCGCCGTCCGCAGGGCCTCCCGCGCAGCGTCTTCCAGCAGGCCACCCAGCCAGCCACGCATGCACGGGCGCCCCTGGCGGCGGAGCGGCAGCGCGCAGACCCTCCGAACAACGAAAGGCTGCGAGGCGGGCAACGGGCGAGGCACGCTGATGCTGCTGCTACCTTCACCCTACTCGTATTCACTGAAAGGCCTCTATGACATCATTACTGTGCACGCACTCTCATCCCCCTCTTCCTCCTCCTCCTCCGCCTCCTTCTCCGCCTCCTCCTCCTCCGCCTCCTCCCCCTCCTCTTCGGGGGCTTTCTTGGCGCCATGGGAGTCGTCTTGAGAGGCGTCTGGAGCCATCGCTGCAGCCTCCTGGGGCCTCCCTGTAGCCTTTTGGGGCCCTGTTGGCCCCGGGTCGCCGAAACCCTGTAAAAAAAAAAAAAAAAAACACATTTGCGGTCGTGGTCGTGGCCCCACATTTGCCGCCGCGGTCGCGGCCCCCCGCCCCCGGACCCGGTCCCCCGTTATATGCATATACTTTCAAATTGCTTCAGCGATGGCCCCAACGCTACTACATTTACACATGAGCATCTTTAAGTAGATCTAGTACACAGCTCTCAGTATTGAAAGGCCTCCTGATTCTTCTCGTCGCCCCACTCCTCCCCTCCAACCAATCACATTATTTTCATGGCCTTGCTCACAGAAAGAGCGTGTTCTACCGCTGCTGGCGGAAAACCGGGGGGGGTCACTACCGGTTCGAACCCCTCCCCCCCCCCCCTCCGGAAAACCGGGGGGGGTCACAACCGGTTCGACCCCCCCCCCCCCCCCCCCGCTCATCATGAAAAGGGAGGGGGGCCACTACCGGTTCGAACCCCCCCCCCTCGAAAACCGAGCGGGGGCGCGGACAGTGGCGGGGACGGTGTTGGCGGGGACAGCGGCGAGGGGACAGCGGGACAGTGGTGGGCACAGCGGGGGGACAGTGGGACAGCGGTGGGGACGTTAGTGGCGGGGACAGTGGTGGGGACAATGGTGGGCACAGGGGGGACAGTGGACAGTGGTGGGAACGGTGGTGGCGGGGACAGTGGCGTGGGGACAGTGGGAACGAGGTGGAAACAGTGGGACAGTGGAGGGTACAATGGTGGTGGGGACGGTGGTAAAGGCGGTGGCGAGGACGGCGGTGGGACAATGGGACAGAGGTACAGTGGGGACAGCGGTGGGGACAGTGGGGACAGTGGTGGGAACAGTGGGACAGCTCAGTGGGACAGCGGAGGAGTCAGTGGGACAGTGGAGGCAGTGGTTGGGTCCGTGGAGACAATGGGGAGAGTGGAACCGTGGTGGGAACAGTGGTGGGAACAGTGGGGACAGTGCGACAGTGGTGGGGGCACTGGTGGGGACAATAGGGACGGTGGTGGAACCAGCGGGGACAGTGGTGGTGAGGACAGTGGTGCTGGGAACAACAGTGGGGGATGTGATGCGTGCGGTGGTAGGGACCGGGAGTCGTTTGATGGCGGTGCGCGGCGTGGGGGGGGGCGAACCGTAGTGACCTCTCTCCCGTTTCGAGATGGGGGGGGGTGCTCAACCGGTAGTGGCCCCCCCGGTTTTCCGGATCCGGACATGGGTGGGGGGGAGGGGGTTCGAACCGTAGTGAACCCCCCCTTCGGTTTTTCATGAGGGGGAGGGGTGGTGGGGGGGAGGGGTTGGGAGGGGGGTTTTTGCCGAGAGGGAGGGGGGGGGGAGGGGGGGTGGGGGGGGGGGGGGGGGGGGGGGGGGGGGGGGGGGGGGAGGGGGGGGGGGGGGGGGGTGGGGGAGGAAATTTCCAGCAGCAGGGTGGGGAGGGGGGTGGGGGGGGGTGGGGGGGGGGGGGATTTTTTTCGGAGGGGGGGGGGCCCGGGTTCCGGAGGAAAAGGTTGGCAATTTTCCACAGTAAAGCGGCGGTGGATCACGCTCTCTCTCACAATTGGACCACGAGGTGAGTAGGGCTGGAAAATCTCATTTTTTGTGGTCACAGCGAGCGGGCCCGAGCGGCTTACAGATGGATCGGGCCTTGCTGAAGATCCTGCTGCTGGCGCTCAGAACAAGACTGGTCTGAGACGGACCAGACTGGCAACTCCCCGACGGATGCACCGAACACTGACATTCGTCGACGAGTTCGGCACTCCTGGCAGCGCATAATCAGAGCCACAATGAAACAAATACCGAGCAGAAGGCAATTGCCGATCATGTGTTCAGCCGTAAGCTGACGGGCGCCAGATTGAATGGCATCAGTACTCTGCGGGCATGTGCTTCTTGGGAAAATCAACGGCTCAATGCCTGCCCACGTGCCGTCCAAGACTTTCCGGGCAGCTGATACGCTGAGCTGGTTAGCAACCGAATCGGCCGCAAAGAAGCCAGTAAGGTACACGGTCACTGGCCCGCCAACCACACGGAAATTACAAGCCACACCTTGCCCATGATAGCCTGACAGTTCGATGTCAGACATAAGAGCAGCATCACACCATCCTTTGACGACGCCATCATATGGCACATTAATGACAGAGTCCACAGCGACACCTAGAGCGCGCATCTCGGGGTACGTATTGAACAGTTGTTGTTGCATTCCACCATGGTAACATATCGTCGTTCTCGCGTTCAAAGCTTCTTGTACACTGCTGACCGTAAGTTGTGGTTTCGCTTCGCTGATCAAGAAGGACGCAGTGCTTGCGGTAAATGTTGAAATGGTGACCAACGCGAAGAACGCAATGCCCAAAACAAGAATGTGACCACTCGCAGTGGACGGTCTTATAGTCACACCTGCCGACAAGAAGCTTATTAATACTTCGTAGGTTGCCAAGGTGCATGTCTGGAGCCGAGTAGTACCAGTAAAACGCTCGTGCTTCCCATGCTCAAAGGCGCCCAACATGATGGATGACACCAGAAAGGTCCCAATAACCAGGGCCCACAGGCTCCAACTGAATGGAGCCAGAGGCTTTTGCATCGCCGTCCAGATGGACGGGCCATCATCTTGCACCTCAGGCACGGCCAGAAACACACTCTCAACGAACACCCCGACGAAACTTACCCCCATGAGCAGCCGTTCGGGCGTTCTCCAGAAGTCTCCTAGACAGACGTCTACATTTCCAAGTGCAATGTCGTAAACGCACGCGGAGAAACCAGACTCAGGATGTGCGCGTCGACTTGCTAATGATAGATCGTGGTATGAAGTATCCTGGGGTGACAAGCCCATGTCAATAAAAACGTGATACGCAAACATCATCGAGGCCATCATTTGCTTCCTGTCATCCTGTGGATCGAGACTCACAACGTTGCCCATATCTCCAACAATGACTTCACCGTAGTGCTTCGAGAGCTGAACCAATGAGAATGTATCGATGTTGCCACAAGTTGTGTACGAGTAAACAAACCCGTCCATGTCGCCGCTTGCCACGTGCTTGCGTGCGCATGCATTGGCGCCCACGTAACACCAACGATCTTGGCACCAAGAAGGCGAATCCCGCTGCGCACACTGAGTTTCCACGGCGCCATCGACGCCCCAAGCAGTGCAATTGCCAAACCCGTACTGGTTCGCAAGGTCGAGACTCATATTTGTCGCGTTCAGGCAAGGGCAATCAACATATGCTCCATCAGCACCCACTGTGTGTTCGAAGAGCCCTTGCGCTCGGAGAACAAGGCAGCAGGGAACGCGAAACCAGACGCGCGTGTATCCCATGGACACATGCAACGGACTCCCAAGTACAATACAACGCGAGTCATCGAAAAGCGCGAAACAGCATTTCTCCCTCGAGAACTGCTCTTGGGCCCAAGCGGTCACGGGCAGGCAGCAGCGGGGGATGAGGGGGGGATGTCGGGGGGAGGTGGAAAAGACCCAAGGGGAAGGGACGAGAGAAGGCCGCGCTCACTCAACTCTGAGCTCGCCAGTCATACACCGAGCCTGGCCACTTGAGCGCACCCTTGGCCGCCCTGGCCGGACCACGAGAGCGCCAGAGCGCGCAAGCTTGGACGCGCGGTCGGCCCTCGTCGGGCCCGGCACGGGTCCGTCCAGTCGCACTCCAGCGCTCCGCGCGGCCGCCGCCATCCGCCCCCTGGGGCTCGTCAATCTCGGGCCGGAGCCGCGCGCCGCCAGGTCGCTCAGGCCGGGCCGCGCCGATCTCGCACGGGGACGCCGCGGCCTCGTCGGGCCGAGCCAGGTGGCAAGTGGCAGGTCTACAGCCAGGTCGCTGAAATTCGCCGGCCCAACGGGCCAGAGGCGTGCTAAGATCTCCGGTAACTGCTAAATAATACTTCTACTTCGCGCGCGCGGGGCGGCCCCTGGGGGCCCCCGGACGAAAAGTACCCCGGGCGATCCCCGGCAGACTCGGATCAGAGATGGTTTTCCTCCTGGGCGCCGCCCCCGTGGCCCTCCAGAGAGCCCCAAAAAGGGCCGCGAGTCCACCAAGAGCCCTCCAAGATGGTTCAAGAGTGCTCCGAGATTCCACACGATCGCTCCAAGACGCCCAAGATGGCCCCCAAGTCGAAAGTGATTATGGTAAGTCAAATAGCATCCGCTCCCATGGGAAGCGGATGGCAAATAGCGTCCGGCATCGTACTGAAGTGGTTCAGTAAGAGGAATGGACGGATCAGATATGATAAGATCGATGTAATGAGCTTTCCAGCACGTAGCGAACACAAGCAGTGTCCGGGCAAATAGGGCGCGCGTGCCTTGAGCCAAAGGCAACGGCGCGCGAGCTATACTCCCGATACTATATAACATCTCCCAGAGAGCTACCCTTAAAGTCGGGAGGGG